ATGACATAGGGGAAGGTCTCAATGAATTCAACCCACCTTGCATGCCGCTTGTTGAGCTTCTGTTGTCCTTTGAGATGCTTTAAGGACTCATGATCTGTGTGAATGACAAACTCCTTAGGCCAGAGATAGTGCTGCCATGTCTGTAGTGCTCTCACCAAAGCGTAAAGCTCCTTGTCATAAGTAGGATAATTGAGAGTAGCTCCTCCTAGTTTTTCACTGAAATAAGCTATTGGTTTCTTATCCTGCATTAAGACAGCACCAATTCCTACCCCGGAGGCATCACATTCAATCTCAAAAGTTTTAATAAAATCAGGGAGAGATAAGACAGGGGCATTAGTAAGCTTCTCTTTCAAGGCCTGGAAAGCATCCTCTTGAGCTTGTTCCCACTTGAATCCCACATTCTTCTTGATAACTTCAGTGAGAGGAGCTGCTAGAGTGCTAAAATCCTTCACGAACCGTCTATAGAAACCAGCAAGTCCATGGAAGCTTCTCACTTCTCCTACAGATTTCGGACTTGGCCACTCACGGATTGCCTTGACCTTCTCTTCGTCAACTTTGACTCCATCTGTACTCACAACAAAACCTAAGAAGACAAGGTTATCTGTTCCAAAAGTACATTTCTAAAGTACTTCTAGAACCATTTTCAGATGGTCAACATGCTCTTCTAGACTCTTGCTGTAGACTAGGATATCATCAAAGTACACTACAACGAAATTTCCTATATAAGCTCTAAGAACATGATTCATTAGCCTCATGAATGTACTAGGTGCATTTGTCAGCCCGAATGGCATCACTAACCATTCATACAACCCTTGCTTAGTCTTAAATGCAGTTTTCCACTCATCGCTTTCCTTCATCCTAATTTGATGATATCCGCTTTTCAAATCTACCTTAGAAAAGATGCTAGAACCATGCAATTCGTCTAACATGTCATCTAATCTAGGTATAGGATGGCGATACTTCACTGTTATCTTGTTGATGGCTCTGCAGTCAACACACATTCTCCAGCTTCCATCCTTTTTAGGCACAAGCAACACTGGTACAGCACAGGGACTCATACTCTCACGAATATGGCCTCTCTCCATTAGCTCAGTCACTTGTTTTTCTAGCTCCTTGGTCTCCACAGGATTAGTTCTGTAAGCTGGTCTGTTTGGCAAAGAGGCTCCTGGAACAAAGTCTATCTGATGCTCGATGCCTCTGATGGGTGGTAAGCCTTCAGGGTTCTCCTCTGGAAACACATCAGTATATTCCTGCAATAGACACTTAATTTTGCTAGGAATGGCCTGCTCAGGATTAGTGATACTCACAAGAGTCTCTTTAAAAACAAAGAGTAATTTAGATGAGTGTATGTTACTTCCCTTTTGCTTACTCTCAGTGATCATGAGGTTAGATGATTTTTCCTTTTGTTTCCTCCTCATTTTCATACTCAACTGGTCAAGATATACCTCATGCGGAGTCATTGGAGCCAGTATGGTTTTCCTGCCCTTGAACTCAAAGATTTGACGATTGGTGAAACCGTCATGCATTACTCTTCGGTCTGACTGCCATGGTCTTCCCAATAGAATGTGACTAGCGTTCATAGGCAGTATGTCACACAAAATTTCGTCCTCATACTTTCCAATAGACAATGGTACCTTCACTTGTCTGCTCACGCTCATTTCTCCATCCTCATTTAGCCACTGCAATTTGTATGGCTTCGGATGCTTCATGACCTTTAGACCAAGTTTCTCCACCATGGCCTCACTGGCAACGTTGGTGCAGCTTCCTCCATCTATGATCAAGCTACAGACCTTGTCATTGACAATACATCTTGAGTGAAATAGATTTTCTCTTTGCTCTTGCTCATCTGTCTTAGCAATAACACTCAAAGTCTTCATGGCAACCAGCAGCTCTCCTTTAGATGGCGCTTCACAGTCTTCTGATGATGAGTTCTCTTCTTGCTGCTCATCTTCTGATTCTATTTCACCAGTATCTTTCAGTATCATGATTCTCTTGTTTGAGCATTCACTAGCGTAATTACCATGTCCCTGACACTTAAAGCACTTGATATCTCTGGTTCTGGTCACAACAGCTTTACCATTTCCTTTCTGATCTTGATCATCAACATTTGGCTTGATAAAGGGTTTGTAGTCTTTCTTAAGTCCTGAACGCTCGTCCCTTTGGTAGCTAGGCTTTCCTGAACTGAAACTGGGCTTGACTGACCCAAAGCTAGGCTTAGAGTTTCTCCTTTTAAGTTGCTTCTCAAACATGATTGCTTTGTGCAGCAGCTCTTCTAGCTCCACGTAGTGTTGAACTTCTACTCTGTCAACGATATCTCTGTTCAGACCTCCCATGAATCTAGACATTGTAGCTTCTTCATCCTCTTGGATATCTGCTCTCAACATCAATGTCTCCATCTCTTTGTAGTATTCTTCAACTGATCTACTTCCTTGGACTAGATTCCTCAATCTATTGTGTAGCTCTCTGTGGTAGTGGTTGGGCACGAATCTCTTCCTCATTATAGTCTTTATCTGAGTCCATGTCTCAATTGGGTAATCTCCAGCACGTCTTCTTGTGGTGACCAATTGATCCCACCAACTCAATGCGTAGTTCTGGAACCCTGTTGGTGCCAATTTCACTTTACGCTCCTCTGTATAACCTTGACAACCGAAAACTAACTCAATCTTCTTTTCCCATTCTAAGTACTCCTCAGGGTCACTGGTTCCCTGGAAAGAAGGAATCTGTATCTTCAAGCTAGCTAGGTCATCTCTAGGTAGAGCTCTTTCTTTTCTGTGATGTCTCCTCCTTCTTTGGTTGCTCTGTCTAGATGACTGACTATAGTAACTCATAGCATCTCCAGACTCTGCAGGACCTCTATGCTCTCTTCTAGTTCTGCTTCTGCATGTGTCTGAATTGATATGTTCTTGCCTGAAAGCTTCCAGTCTTTGATCCAGTAACTTAGTCATATTCGCAGTGAGAGCCTCAAGCAGCAGTTTGTTGCTATTTTCTCCTTCTTCATCATCCGCCATGTTTCTGCAATGATTAAAACAGTAGCAACAAGTAAAAGGTTCTTCGCAAACACAAGATCGAGTATAGAAGTTGAAAAGTCCAAAAAGATGTTATCGAGTTTCCTATCGTTTCAGGTGATTCTATCAGTGCTAACAAGTTTCTAATACCAAATTCGACAAGATTCAACCCTAGATCAATCAATAAGCAAAACAGAAGTTGAAAAGTCGGAGTAGATGCAACCTGACACGAAGTGGCTCTGATACCACTTAATATGATCCCAGTTAGATCTTAGTCCCTTGATGCACTTCGTGTGGTTGTTGAATAATCAAGTAGAAGGGATGCGGAATGAGAATGGGTGAGATCGAGTAAGAGTTGGGGGTGATGATGGGGTTGAGATCGAGTAGAGGGTCGAGTAAGCGAGTGGTTATGGGCTAATGGATCTGACCATGTGATCGAGTGGTTTTGGTCGAGTGGTTTTGGTGGTGAAGTGAGAGACGTGATGTGTGATCGAGTATGAGAGTGAGATGAAGCGATCGAGTAATTTGTAATCGAGTAGACTTTATGGTGATAATGGATATGAGATCGAGTAGAATGATGAGTTGATGATGATGAACGAATTTGAAAAGCGAGATCGAGTGATGGCGAGGAGATGAAGGGTCGAGTGAAACTTTCAAAGGCTGCGGAATCTCCTTTGAACTTTCGAACTTGAGTCTGTCTGGATATGACACACCAAAAACATACACAAGCAGAGAGAGTGATATGACACACACAATCTCAAGATCAAACGAAATTCAGAAAGAAGTTTTTGATAGAAAATGTTTGATAACGTTTACAAAGGAGAAGAAGAGATTATAAAGAAGTAGAAGAGGTCTAGGGAGATGAAGAGTTATCCTAGGGAAAGAAAACGAAATTAAACACACAAAGACTGAATTCGAAATTTAAAGAAAACGGGCTTCTCCTTGGTGATGGGCTGCGAGACAACATTGGGCTCGAGTATGAGTGTGTGGGCTTGCCTCGTTAAAAACCTCTCTTGGAAAACCCATTGGGACAAAACCAAGAGGAGGAAAAAAGAGTGCAAGTCACACACCTCCAATGATGTCACTTAAACGGCTTGAATCACAACCAACGTGGTTGGACAAGCTTCCGGTTTAAGGCTGCCTTCCATGTGTTGTAGAAGTGTGTTGATAGCTTGATTCAACAACTTAGTCTTGGATCTTGTCATTGGTCCAGTAGCAACTTGCAATGACATATCCTCTTCAGCTCCAAGTGAATCTTGCTCCTTAGCTCTCTCTGTGGTCAAGTATCCCTTTGGTGCAGCTCCATACTCGATCACATCCTCATCTTGGTGGTCGAGTATGTCTTCAACATGGTGGTCGAGCATGTCTTCAACATGGTGGTCGAGTGTGTCTTCAAACTGATCCTTAGTTCCTTGATCCAAGCTTACCATGCTCACATCACTTCTAGAGATTCGTCGGAACAGGGGTTCTGTGGAAAGGTTCTACATTTCGCCAGCGAAGAACAGAAGGGTCATTGGTGGTTTCCCGAGCAAAGACGAGAAATACACCGATCACTTCTTCTTCATCGCGCTAGATGAGGGTTGTGTTCCTGAGGGGTGCCTAGGGAAAGTCCTCTGTAAATGGGGAAAAATTGGTAAACCCGAAGTTTCTGCCTTCCGATTGTGTTTTCACTCTTTCGCCTAACGCTTCGTTATTATATTTTCTGTTTTTAGATCGCGCCCCGTCGTTTCTAGAGAGCTTTCCCGACGGCTTCTTTGACACGCGCGAAGACCTTGTTGCGAGGAAGTGCCACTGGTTGAGGCATTTTTCACGCGAGAGAGTTGATAGAGCTTTGAGGATCCTTCACGGCGTATCTTGTTCTACTTCTTCGTCCTCTTCAGATCATCAGGCTAATTTCCTAGTCGAGATGCAAGGGGTGAAGATGACGATCAGGGAGAAAAAGGCTGCTGAGAAGAAAGCGGCCGAGGAGAAGCGGGCACTAGAGGCGATCTTCAGGCCCTTGACTCCGCCCGAGGCAGTTGGTGGAAACGAAGCGGTCGTGGGGCCTGAGGCAACTGACGAGCCGGAGAAACAAGGAGTCGATCTGACCGCTGCCAAGGCTATTCCAGAAGTGCCCGAGGGGACTCACGATCAAGCCCCCGAGGTAGAGAGTACCTCAATCGTCGTTGGCTTACTTGCCGGCGGGCAGACCAAATCGACAGGGAAACGTCCCCGAGGCGACCATTCCGGGGACAAGAGGAAGAAAACGAAGAAGGACCGCGGTACATCTCGTCCAATCTACAAAGATGCGGTAGCTTCTGCCAACCTCATTGCCTCGTGTGCGTGGCCATTGCTTCCCGCTCCCGAGGGTCTGGTCGAGGCGGAAAAGTATGGTGAAACCGCGGCCAGTTTCTTGAAGGTAAACATTCACTGAATCTCGCTTGGTTCGAGGCGATTTCACTTTGGTGTTTGATGTTTTTTGATTTTTTCTGTATTCCAGGCCTTCTCTTCAATGAACAAGATGGTTCACTCTTACGATTCTGCAACTCGTGATTACGAGGCGGCTAGAGAGAAGCTGAAGCTAGCCCGGGTTGAGGCCGAGACGAAGGTAGCTGAGGCGGCTCTGGCGATGCAGAACGCTGAGGCGTTGGTCGCAGCTGAGCAAGACGCGAGGCGCAAATTGGCCGAGGAGCATCTTCATGCCCAGCAGGAGGCCGAGGCGGTGATTGAGAGCCTTAACCGCTCGCTGACTGAAGAGAAATCCTTACGCGAGATTGAAGTGGTCCGAGCCAAGAAAACCGCCAAGAGAGAGCTCATAGAGGAATTTGCTGCAAAGGTCAAAGCGACCGAGGCGAAGCTGGGTCTATTTGACAAAGTTTCTGAGCGATATGTCTACCTTTGTCAAGCTAAGGCCAACGCTGAACTGATCGCGGCACTTGAATGCGGTGGGAAAATCGAGGAGGAGAAAGAAGAGGTGCTGAAATGGAAAGAAGAGTACGGAGATGCCGAGGCTGAGTACGCCAAACTCGGGGCAGAGCTTCTTGGAGATTTGAAGGTTGCTCCAGTGTCTCCCGACTCTGATCAGAATGTCCTCGGAGGTAGGCCGGTAGAGGACGAAGTGGTCGAGACCGAAGTTGTCGATCTGGTCGGGCCAAGTTTGAACTCCGAGGCCGTGCAGATTCCAGAGAAGGAAGGTTGATCCCGAAGCGCTCTTTCTTTTGTCTTTTTTTTTTTTTTTTTTTTGCTTTCTCTTTTGTAAAAACTTATGCCTAGACGGCTTTATCCACTTGATATGAATGTTCTTTTTAAGTGCTTGACTTGTTTTTTTGTTTATCTTGAGATGTTTCCGAACCAAATTCGGTACCAGTGTTGAGTAACTGGGTTTTCGCAAATCTGGGTTGTTCATGGAGAAGTTAATCTTTCCGAACCGTTTTGACTTCTGAGCCGAGAAAAGCGAATTACTCGCCAGTGTCAAGGTGACTGGGTTTTTACAAGCGTGTGACGTCAAGAAGTTAATTCTTCCGGACCATTTCAACCTCTGAGCCGAAAGTGAAATGAATCGTGCACCAGTGTTAGGATAACTGGGTTTTGGCTACGTGGGACTAATCTTTATCGGTTGCGACCCGAGCTGATATAGTCGAAGCCAGTGCTTAGAAGCGAACTGGGGTACCAGTGTCGAAGTCAACTGGGTTTTCTGAAGACAATTTCTTTGTGGCCAGATATCTCCGACCGAATTGTCTTGAATACTTATATAGCGCGCTGTAACCGAAGCGGTGAAATGAGCTCTATGTTCGTGGACGTGGCCATCGTCCGGACGAACTGTTGGCTTTGTGGGTCGATAAGAGGACCGTAAAAGTTCCCGAGATGAGTTCTGGGAAAGATGTTTAGGTGGATAAAATTGAAAATCTGAAGGATAAAAACTTAGAGAATTTGAAAAACTTAGTGGGAGTATATGTATACGGACCCACTCCCCCCCCTTTTTTAATTAGGGGGGGTAGCTGAACTCGTCCGAGGACGAGCTGCCTACGTACCCTTTTCAGGGATCAAGCCACCCCGTAGTTCAAGTACATGCGTACCTTAGGTTTTTAGCGGTAATATTTCCTTAGATGCATTGCGTTCCAGGATCTAGGTACCGCTTTGCCGTTCATGTTGATGAGTTCGTAGACGCCGGGACGGATTACCTTTGCGATCGTGTAAGGTCCCTCCCAATTCGCGCCGAGCTTACCTGCGTTCTTCAGCTCGTGGCAGATTACGTCGATGCCTACCCCGGGTAGATCTTCAGCCGACCCGGTGAAGGTGTTGATGTTCTCTTTGAGGAATGAGATGAGCTCGGTCTTGATTTCCTCGGTTAAGTCGCTGCCAATTTCCACACATCGTTCAGGCCGTTCGTCGTCGAGGTTAATGGAGATTACAGGATCCGAGGTAGGCTTCTTCTCCTCGCGCGCCTCCTTGATCTGTAATTGCTATAATTGTTTAGATATAGCCTTCTCTTCACTCCGGCCAAGTTTTGATTTCTTGTGATCGGTTTCAGCCTTCGCTTCAGTGACAGGGTTTCGGAGTTTGTGTGCTGCCATGAAACACATCCGAGAATTTTTCTGACTGCCCCAGATCGTTTTCACGCCATTGGGGGTCGGGAATTTGACACACAGATGATATGTTGATGCGACAGCTCGCATTAGATTTAACCACGGAGTTCCCATTATAACGTTGTAGATGGTAGGTTGATCGGTGACTGAGAAGTTGACTATCTTTGTTACTCCGCCGGCTCGGACTGGTAGTTGGATGGTTCCAAGCGTCATCAAAGTTTCCCCTGAAAATCCGAGGACAAGCCTCGGGGTCGGAATCACCTGTGACATGTCGATGTTCATTTGTCGGAGCGTTTCGCGAAAGATTACGTCGATGGTGCTGCCGGTGTCAATTAATACTCGGTAGATATCATGGTCTCCTATCGCTAATGTGACGACGATTGGATCGTTATGAGGCATGTCGAGCCCGTTTGTCTCGCTTTCTTCAAATGTGATCACGTCGTTAGGTCGATCGAAGCGTCTTGTCCAGTTGCTAGGCGTCTCGGCTCGGCGTTGATAAGCTTTGATTGCCGCTACGGTGTCAGGACAATATGGCGATCCACCCATTATGGTAAGAACCTTCTGCCGCGTACCATCTCGGTCTTCGTCTTCCGACCCCCGGGTTCTTTTCTGAGACTCCTGGTTCCTTGGTTCGGGGTCTCTTCCCGGGTTGGTCTGCTCGGGCTCTGGCTCTGGCTCGAGATCCTTAAGAGTGACGTTCGTCCCGAGCTCTCCAGCTAGGAATTTGGTTGCTAACTTGGCTCCGAGGCTTCGGCATCTCGAGGTATGGTGGCCGAAAATTTTGTGATGTTCGCAATATTCTTGATCATTGCTCGGTGGCTGATCCCTTGTCCAGGTGAAGGACTCTCTTCCTCGCCCACGGCCTCGGCCTCTACCGCGGCCATGGCCTCGGGGCGTGTCAATCTGGTAGTTATGGTATCCTGAGAAATTGCGCCCTTCGTGGTGCGTATACATACCGCTCTCACGCGTCTTCTTCTGGACCGGAGGTGTCGCTTGGGCTTTCTCGGTTTTCTCGGTTTTCTCGGCTCGGGGCGCCTGTTTCGTTGGCTCATGCCTCTTTGCTAGCAGCGCCATCTCTTCTTCGTGGGCGACGAAATCCGAGGCTCGATGCAGCGCGTCGCGAATTGTTGTCGGTTTAGACAGGTTCAACTCTTTCCGGAATTCTGACTTGTACCAGAGAGCTTTCTTCAAAGCCGAAAGAGCGGCTACATCTGTAATTCCTTCGACCTTGGCTAGCGTCGATTTGAAGGTTGTGAGGAAATCTCTCAACGGTTCGGTGGGCTGTTGAGATAGGGACCACAGATCCGCGTCGGAGGTTCCGGGGTCGATGAGGACGGAGTATTGTTTGAGGAATAATGTCGACAGCTCGTCGAAACTGTCAATCGAGTTTCGTTCCAATCTAGAAAACCACTCTAATGCGGGTCCTTTGAGGTGTTCCACGAACAGTAAGCATAGACCTGCATCCTTTTCCCCGGGCTTGAACCTGGCTCGGGCCACAGATATCACGAACGATTTAATGTGGCACTTCGGGTCGGTTGATCCGTTGTAAGAGTCGATTTTGAACTTTCCCAGATTGGACATCGTCGTTTCGGAAATTCTTTTGGTGAAAGGCGTATTCCGAGATTCTTCCAAAATTCGGTCGATGTTCGGTGCGGAGGATGAAACGCTATGTATCTGGGTTTTGACGAGCTTCATATCAGCTTCCGCCTTGGCTAGGGAGGCTCGGATCTTGCTTAGCTCGTCTTCTCTTTCGGATTCTTCGGCCCACCTTATGTTTTCCTCAGTTTCTTCGTCATCAGTAAGGTCCGTTCGCTCGGCGGAGTTAGCTCCGGCTCAGGTGCGCTCGTCTTGCAAATCATCTAGCTCGTCCGTCACGTCCACTGCGTCTGGCTCGGTGGGATAATCTTGGTTCTCGCGTCTGGCAGGGTCGGCTCGGGTTGCGACTCTGGTGTTGTTGGTTGGTGTCGCGAACGTGAGTCTTGTTGGGTTGATGCCAGGCAAGTCCCTCCGAGCTCGTGGCGGCCGAGTCTGGAAACGCGTGGTTTTTTGTTGCCCACGTGTTGCGATTTCGTCGACTCGCTGCGCCAAGGTTTTGTTAGCTTTTTCTTGGTCGTCAGCTTTCTTCTGGAATTTAACCATCATGTCTTTCAGTTCGGCTAGAGTCGCTATGATCGTCGGATCGGCTTGAGGATTCTGAGGGTTCGGAGGGTTCGGGATCCCTCCTCCAGCTGGTGGTGTCTGACGACCGTCTTCGTTCATCGTCCTTTTCGGTAATCGAGTTCTGCGTCTTAGGGTAAGAGAATTCTAAAGTATCCCCACAGACGGCACCAAACTGTGGAAGTCAAAACTAACACAATCGAGATTTGTCTAGGGTTTTAATTTAGGGATACGATAAATGTGAATTCTCAAAGAACAACAGAAACAATTGTAACCAAAGATGGTGTTCTTGATCTTATTGATGAAAAGAGTAGTTTTGATCGTACAAGAGTTTGATCGTAAAAGAAAAGATGTTTGTGCTATGAGAGCTTTGCGTAGTGTAAATTCTAGAGCGATATTGCTTGTCTTTTGCTTGAGCCTTGAGTCTCTTTATATAGGGGTGATAAACCGCCTCTCCAACGATATTCTCGGAAGATTTCCATTTATCTTGAAGTCGGCCTAGAATATCGCGGGTTTAGGATAGTTTCCTTATTCTTCGGGGTTTCTTGGAAGATTTCCTGATTTGAGTCGATCCTTCTAGATTCTCTCTTATCATTTCCGGGTTTATCGGAAATGATCCTTCTTGTTCGGAAATGACGACTTACTTGGAAATGGTACTTTGAAGACGAATATTTTACCAAGTCTTTGCCTCGGGTGACTTGTGCAATCGGCTCGGGGACGAGAAAGGCACGGCCCAGGCTCCCGAGGGAAACCGGCTCGGGTCCGCGGAAGGATCCAGCTCGGGGATCCTGGCACGAACCGGCTCGGATTCCCGGAGTGAACCGGCTCGGGCACTTAAAGGGAGCCGGCTCGGGTTCACAAGCTTGCTGATAGACCCCGAGCAGACTACGGGCGTTCCCCGAGGCAACCGGTGCAGCGACCCGAGGTGAATGGCACTTTGCACCGAGGTGAATGGCTCGCTTCCTACGAAATAGTTGGTATGCTTCCCCGAAGTGTCTTCGGAAGTTCCCTGAGGCGTCCAAAGTTCGGCTCGGTGCTAAGGGATGAAATCCGACCCCAACAAAGTACTTCTCCGTGATTTTTGACTGCACTCCAGATATTAGTCATCATGCACAAATGACTGTCATCATTCGATGTGTAGATGTTTCAACAACTTCAACGAAGATCGAAGATTTTTTTAACGTTCTTGAAATGTGAAGAACTTTTTCGTGAGCTTCAAGATGTTTTGACAGCTTTTAATTTAAAATTTTACTATGTGAGGGGGCAAGGTTATGATAATGGCTCTAATTTTTTTTTTTTTTTTTGGGCAAAAATAATGGCTCTAATATGAAGGGAAAGCATAAAGGAGTGCAGAAAAGATTTCTTGAGATAAATCCCAGCGCGTTTTATACACCATGTAGTTGTCACAGAATCTTGCACTTTGTGATATGGCAACCGCTTCTTCAAAGACAATCTCATTTTTTGGGATTATTCAGCGTACTTATTGTTTCTTTTCATCTTCAATTAAGCGGTGAAAAATATTTGAGGATCATGTAGATGGCGTAACACTTAAGCCCTTATCACACACTCGTTGGGAGATCCATGTTGAAAGTGTAAAGGCTATACGATGTAGCTATTTCTCAACCCAAGGGGTTGGTTTCATATTTTCAAAAATATAGAGAGTCAGGCTTTGAGAAGGCAAAAGCAGAAGCTAAAGAAATTGCAGAATCTTGGGAGATCGATCATGTAATTCCCAAAAAAGCAAAGCGGATGATTAAAAGAAAAAGACACTATGATGAAGAATCAGAGAATATGGAGGGAAGTGTGATATTATCACCTGAGGAGAGCTTTAGGGTTGACTACTTCATCTAAATCATGGATCAAGCTCTCTACTCACTTGAGACGAGGTTTGAGCAATTTCAGAGGTACGAACAAATATTTGGTTTTTTGTTTGATTTGAGAAAATTGCAATCAGCGAGCGATGATAGTTTGATGGCTTCTTGTGTCAATCTTGAAGTTTCTCTAACCCATGGAAAGCAATCAGATGTTGTTGGTCATGATCTTTTCTTTGAACTTAAAGTTCTAAGAGAAGCTTTGCCAAAAGAAGTTAAAAGACCTATTGAGGTATTCGACTTTTTGAAAACAATTGAAGATTGCTATCCAAACTCATGCATCGCTTATCGAATATTGTTGACGATTCCAGTTTCGGTTGCATCTGCTGAGAGAAGTTTTCCAAAGCTGAAGTTGATCAAATCGTATCTTCGTTCGACTATGTCGCAAGAAAAATTGAGTGACTTGGCTATTTTATCCATTGAAAGAGAATTTGTTAGAAACATTGATTTTGAAAGCTTGGTTAACGATTTTGTGGAGAACAAAAGAAAACAAATGTTTAAGGATTATTATTATGTTTGCTAGTTTGTTTTTTTTTAATGTTTTTTATTATATGATGAATGACGATGGTTTAGTTTTGTAGACGGTTTTTTTTTTTATATAATTAAAGGCATTTAATTTTTATTCGCTTATGATACTTGGTAATGTTCGCACGGTTATGATATCTCGGATGAAAAATAAATCTGAAGTAGTAATTTTATGTGAATTGAAATTTATTTGTAATTGTCGATGTAGTTTACATTTGAGTTATTTGAAAGATACAAAAAAGCTTGGATTTGTTTTTTTTATTATTTTTTGGAAATTTTATTCATTTTTAAGGTTTATCTATTAAGTTTTTTTAAATAACAATTACTTATCGTATAATCGAATAATAATATTCCCTTTGTTTCAATATATAAAATGTTTATAGTAATAACACGTGTACTAAAAATATATATATATATAAAATATCATTTATATATTTTTTTAAATCAACCAATCATGGAAAATACTGCAAAATATCAATTTTCACAATCAATACATATAAATTTGTGTAGAAATTTCTAAAACATATCTATATTTACATTTTTGGATGACTTTTAGCAAATAAATCCTGGAGTTGGAATGTATTTACAAATAATGCCATTGGTTGGGTGGGTTTTTTTTTAAAAAAATGAGTGACCCGGTTTCAATTTCGGATATTTCCGAAATTTCCTCTTACAACATTAAATCAAAATTGACATTAATTAGTTTGTAAATCTCGATTATTAGTTGTGAATCCCAACTGAACTCCCTCAAAAATATTCCTAATAGCGAACGTGATCTTGAAAATATTGGGCATAGAAACTAATAAGTACACTAACATTCTTTCTTAGTAGCATATTCTTTATCTAAATACTAAATCTTTTATTTTAATTCTAATCAAAATACATGTAATCTAAATTCAATCAAGATTTTCTCCATTTGCTAGCTATAGAGATCGAGAAAATAAAGGATATAATAAATAATTACTACACTAACACTCCTTATTAGTAGCATATTCCTTATCTAAATAGTAAATCATTTGTATTACTTAATATAGTTGATATTTCGGAGATTTTATGCTTGCTTACCAATTTTCTCTAGATTCGCAATCACACCTAACCTTGACATCAAGTATCTCTATATATAGCCTGTCAATGAATGTAGAAAAGTCATCAGAGTATACGCAATTTGCGTTTACCAATCCACAAATCATCAGATCTCTATAAAGGATGACAAGAGCCGTCGATGACTTGAAGCTCTCCAGCGGGTAAACATGGCAACAGAGCAGCTTCCAAAGCCGTTACGCAAGCCATAATGTCCTCTATTTCATCAGTCTGATTGATCGACGACATCTCCGGTGCTGCAATACCTGGCGGACGGTTAGGCGGGAGGCGGCGACGGTTAAGGGTCAAAATATGGCGGCGGCTTTTGCTGACGATCTCGATCTCTCTTTCTCTCTGCTTATTTACTTGATCGTCACCACAATTTTTCAATTATATGGTGTAATCTCATAATCGAAAACTCTAGGAGAAGAAAATGTTAAGATATGGGAGATTGAAGATGATTTTGTCTCTGTTTATTTTTTCCAAAGAAGAATGAAGATAATCTATGACCTTTAATTACCAAATATACGACCACTTTGTCTTTCTAAATTTTTTAATATTTTTTTATATATTTAATTTTAGTTTTGTTGTATTTCGTTTTGCTTTGACAAATTAGTTGTTCAAATAAAATTCTAATATTTGCCTTGATTATTAAAAAAAACTTTTTGCCTTTGGGATAGTAACTTAATAACATGTATTTCATTAGTAAAAAATATTTACCCATAATTCATAACTATAATTCATAATCTACACTAAACTTAGATTTTAGTTGGTTTTAATTATAACTACATAGTAAACAACATCTGTATATTATTACTTTATCATAATAAAAACATTACAAATTTATGTTTTTAAAGCAAACTTTTAAATTGATTCGAATTATATGTTTTTAAAATAAAAATATTAATTCAAAAGAAATATAACAAAATGATGTTTAATTTCACGGGACGGAGTTATATGGTGGAACGGGTTTGGATCGATATTAATCGGGACGGTATACTATGGATGAAATCCTAGAATTAACAATCAAATACAATTATATAATCTTAAACACTAAATAAAACATACAATATTAACAAAACAAATACAACTTAAAATTAAAAAAAATTAGTTATAAAAAAATCGATCAGAGGTGTACCGCCGGATATAAATAGTATAGGATATACATATATAAATACATTTAGTCAAACAAAACTATAGATTATATCTATAGATAATCTTCAAAAAAAATAATTGTCAAACTTTTTTTTTAGTATTATAGCCCCGCGGTGTACCGCGGGTTAAAATCTAGTTATGATATAAAATAAAACAAAATCTCCAAGAAATTTACATAATCAAATAAGAAACAGAGAGAGTAATATATAGTAAAATTAGGAAATTAACAATTGAATCACACTATAATTTAAAAGAATATCTGAAATATATATTGTTGAAAAATAATAAAAATCAAAATTCTTTCAAATTCAGTTAAATTCTTTCAATATTTATTACTTCAGACTTTTTGATCACGCCCTCTTAAGCCTGGTGTCAAATATTTATTGAAATCCAAATAAATAAATTTGCTAGCCTCTTATTACGCCAAGTTTCATATTGCAGCAGCCCTAATTCCCAAATTCTCTTCCGATAATTTGTTCACAAATCCCTAGAAAATCAAGAGGGAATTTTCAAATCTTACGGTGACCAAACCTGCTTCAGGCCTGCACAAGGTAAATTCTTCTGCAATTCTTCTTCTTTTACACCCTTGATCGTCACGAAAGTAATCGATATTCTTAGTTGGTTTATTGATTTAACGCTTCTTTAATTTGTAATCGTTTGGAACTTTTTTTCTGCTATTTAAGGTTCCTTAGAACCAATTTTGGACTAATCTTGCTCAAGTTCTCTTTCGTGTGTTGTTCTGGAATATGTTTACTTGTGCTTCTGACTACAGTTTTGTTTTGCTGATGTTACTGTAATATTTGTTTTTTTCTTTTCGATTTGTATATTTTTATGAAATCCGTGTTAGTTTGTGTTTCTTATATATATTGAAATTGTTTCTTCCTGATCTCTTTGCAGGATTAAAGTTAATTGAGTAAATTATCATGAGATTCAGAAAAGGAAGTAGAGTTGAGGTGTTTAGCATCAAAGAGGCGCCTTATGGTGTGTGGCGATCAGCGGAGATTATATCGGGCAATGGTCACACTTACGGTGTTAGATATTACTCTTTCGAACTTGCTAACAATGAGGTAGTTGAGGAAAGAGTTCCAAGGAAGATAATTAGGCCGTGTCCTCCGCAAGTAGATGTAGATAGATGGGAAGCTGGTGAATTGGTGGACGTTCTTGATAATAATTCTTGGAAAACTGCTACGGTCTTGGAGGAGTTATCTGGAAGATATTATGTCGTTCGGTTACTTGGTGCCAAAGCAGAACTTACGGTTCACAAAGTTATTCTCAGGGCTCGACAATCTTGGCAAGATGAAAGATGGGTTATGATTGGAAAGGTAAGTTTTTCTTCTATTATTTACTGGTACTGTGTTTTAAAGTGATGTTTAAACAATGATATGATGCTAATGGAGTTACACGGTTGTCTAACTGTCTTATAACCATCTTTCAGGTATCTTGTTCTGTGAAGTCCTCGACGCTGACTGGATCAGATGAACAGCAGAATCTGAAGCCCCTTCTGAACAGTGTGGTGCCCCAGGAGACTAGTGTTGCTTCTTTAAGAGTGTTGAAGAGACCTTCACCCTGTGATTGGGCAGAGTCTGCTGAATCATGCACGAGAAGTCCTAAGAAGATACGATCATTGGAGGAAGAAGGACACCAGCACCGGTTTGCTTCGTCTGAACTTAGGGGTGTTAAAATGCACGTGCAAGCTTCCTTTAACAAGAGTGGTTTCCGTCAACTGGTCAGGGTAAGATCAAAAAGGTTTAGTGAATGTGTTGGTACAGGAAGCTCAGTCTCTAATGGTTGTTATGATACTGATGCATGCTCGGTTGGTAGTTGTAGCCCTATTAGTTATGATGAGAGTGACATACCAACTTCTTTTCTAGATGGTGCTAGTCAAGGTGCCGACTCTTGTAGTAGTGATGCTGAATCTTCAAAAGAAGCATTTGGATGCAGAGAGGAAGCTAGGCGAAAACATTCATTATCAGGTAATGGAGCGGTGGTGAGATCATGTAGGCCTGAACTATACACTTACCGAAGTACACTGAGGAAGCTATTTGCTTCCGGCCCCCTAAGTTGGGATCAGGAAGCATCACTAACCGATCTTCGACTTTCTCTTAATATATCAAATGATGAACATTTGATGGAGCTAAGAAATCTCAAGTCTGCCGGTACCCACAATTAATTTTGTTAGTATCTATCTTATCTTTTTGATCCTTGACAGTCTTATCTTCAGGTGTCGGCCATACTTCCCTGCAATGTGGAATCAACTGTTGTATATTGTTCTTTTTCTGGAGGATTCTTATAGTGATTGTATAGACAGCAGAAAGGAAATTATGTATGGAAACTCTGACTGAAAATTTACAATCCTCATTGTGATGTTTTCGTCTTATTGTCAGCCTAATTTTCTTTGTTGTACTTTCTGGATAATTAAATTGAAGTTACAGAATCTCTGTTCTAAAATGAGTCATGTCTTTTCTTCATATATACTTTAGTTTCTTGTGTTTAAGCTTCTGGATAAGTTGAGTCATTTGTATTTTCCTCATCAGTGATGGATTAGTTAACTTACCCTACATTTTTCAGGAACAGTGTAGCCATGTCGGATGACTGCAGATCTTTCTTGCTTCTAGAGATCTTACTCTGATGCATGAGGTCAACTGAATGGTGCAAAACACAATGCCCCTTCTTCCTTAAATTCATAAGTGAAACTTTGCTGTTTTTTTCTTTTTGGCTATGAATAACTGATCTGTTTCAGGTGTTCTTGGATAAACTCCGTGGACAGGCTTGGAACTGTTCCTAGCCGAAAGAGAAATATTTACAGTCTGGTTGTTTATGTTTGCCGACGATTGGTAAGTATTAATGCACTAGGTTGAAAGTTCTTCAATCGTAACATGTGTCTTATAACTGAGAGCGTAATATCGAGGTTGTGGAAAATACTGACAGTAGTCTTTGCTCTTCCAGCAAATGTGTTACCAGTAGATTGGGAGGTCAGATTCTCATGATTTCTCTTCTAACCACTTTGATTGTGAAACTGTCCATGCGTTTATTTTAGTATATAAGAAAATACCCGATTTCCTACGGCCAATATTGTATGTATAGTTGGCCTGGTCATCAAAATCTACAGAAAAACACGCAACTCATTGTTATGAACTCAGGATTACGACTTACGACATTTCAAGCTGATTTACTAGAGGTGCGGATATTCATATGTTAGCATAAATATTATGCTCGGTGTGTATAGATCTCTAAATAAATCAAACTTATTTAGCTGCTTGCTTGTCAAATCCAACTTTTTCGCTATGTCTTAAGCTTAAAGAAATTGAAAAGACTGTAGAGGAAGAAGAAACCTTGTGTGTAATTTATATCATTATTATCTGTTATGTATGTTCCGATGTTCTTATGCCATCACTATGGGCTATGGGTTTTATATTTGGATACAAAATTTGCATTAACAATGTTGTTTTTTTAAATGTTTTATGTAAGATTGACACAATTTGGAAACACCGTTTCTTGTATTTTATTTATCCTTGACTTGAAGTTGATTGGCTTCTTCTACATGTCACTGGCAGAAAAAAGTTTCCAAGTACCAGAGTAGATTCATTTCAGGTCTGTTCAGGAAATGATTATCTAAATACCAATTTGGAGATTTGCGCCTAAAGCAACCCCATTCGCAAGAGAAAGAAAACATAGCTTAAGGGAACGTACGCTGGTAGAGAGGCAGAGCTCCCATGGCCTCTCGTTCCAATCTTTCCCTCTCAACCTGCAATATAGAACGATGTTGAATTGTTGATATATCATTTCTGTTAAACTCCAAAAAGTCCAAGCATTGTTAGATTTAACATATATATATATTCAAAAGGTACTTACTAGAGAAAGCATCTCCTGAAGATAGCTCCGTAATGGTGTCTGCATGGCCTGCATACGAGATCGAGATCTCAGATAAATCCAATAGAATAACAATTGAACTTAATAGAATTAAGAATTCAACAAATTGAATAACACTAGAATTAAAAGTATTTTAAAAGCATTTGATAAGGTGGAATGGAATTATTTGCTATCCATATTGAGACGATTTGGTTTTGCAGAGAAATGGTGCCAATGGATAATGAAATGTGTTACCACAGTCACCTATTCAGTGCTCATTAATGGATCTCCTTCTAAGAAGATTATCCCCAACAGAGGACTGCGTCAAGGTGATCCGCTTTCACAAGGCTTGTCTTCCTTATTAGCCAACGCAGTCCATGTAAAGTCTATTCATGGATTTAAAGCTAGTCCTAATGGACCTGCAGTCTCACACATGTTCTTTGCAGATGATTCTCTCCAATTTTGTCAAGCAAATGAACAAGAATGTCATCAAATCCTCCAGCTGCTTCAAGTTTATGCCACTGCTTCCGGCCAGCATGTTAATTTCCAAAAATCTGCTATCCTGTTTGGTAAGAATGTTCCTACAACCACTCAAGAAACTATTAAAAGTCTCACTGGTATTGCTAAAATTGGAGGCTTTGGTCGTTATTTGGACTTACCAGAAGTTGTAGGCAGAAATAAGTATGATGCCTTTGCTTATATCTCTCAAAGAGTTCAACATAAGCTAGATAATTGGTACACTCAGTTTCTCTCACAAGTTGGGAAGGAAGTTTTAATTAAGTCTGTGGCAACTGCTTTGCCCACTTATACGATGTCTTGTTTTCTTCTGCCTAAGCGACTTATTTCTCAAATTACAGCTCAAATACGACGTTTCTGGTGGTCCAGCACTAAAGATAAGCAAAAGATCCCATGGATTGCATGGAGCAAACTTACTATGATGAAATAGTACGGAGGCATGGGTTTTCGAGATCTTTCTCATTTCAATATTGCTCTATTGGCAAAGCAAAGCTGGCGACTGTTAAAGGAGCCTCATTCTTTACTCTCCTGAGTTCTTAAAGCAAAATATTTTTCCAAAGCCTCTCTGCTAGAAGCTACAGTTGGACACCGCCCAAGTCATGCTTAGCGAAGTATAGTGCAAGGTACATCTCTCTTAAAGCAGGGCTTAAAGTGGAGAATAGGTGATGGTCATACAATTCGGGTATGGCATGATTCATGGGTTGATAATCCTCCACGTCCACCAAAAAGCTTGGAAAATATTGCAAATGATAATTTGACAGTTTCAGGACTCATGAAGCCATACACAACATCTTGGGATGAGGAGAAGCTACAAGAGAAAATTTGTCCTGAAGATGCTCAGCTTATTAGGAGAATACGACTGCAGCTCCTTAAAGGCCCTGATGTTCCTACATGGATATTCACTAAGGATGGCCAGTATACTGTCAAGTCTGGCTATCATCAACTATCAAAACCACATCCAGACTGTTCCATAACTTCAGCTCAACTCCAAGGTCTGTGTAAAACACTTTGGGCTTTGCATATACCACCCAAACTGAAACATTTCTGGTGGAGAATTCTTCATAATGCTCTCCCTGTTGCAGCTAATATTGCTCATCGGCGCATCAAAATCTCCCAAGACTGCCTTTTTTGTGGTGATGCTGCTGAAACTATTCCCCACCTCTTCTTTCAATGTCGGCTAGCAAAAGAGATTTGGGAATTATCACCCTTACATATCCCATCAGGTCAGTATGAAGCAGCTACACTTTTGATATCATATCTGGTCAGTTACAATCCAGAAATGCTGCTGACTCAAAGGAACCTTTATTCTCGTACATTGGTTGGCGAATTTGGAAAGCCCGAAATGATCTTCTCTATAATCACAAGCGATGGGCTATTCCTGACATTATTCGTCAAGCTATTATGGATTTTGAATTATGGAAGGAAGCTCAAAATGCTTCTACTGCTCAAAACAATCATCACAATAAAGGCACCAAGTCTCAAAATCATCAGCGTCCCTATGATCAGCCACCTAATTCACTTTTCTCTTGTTACACAGATGGTTTTTGGCTAGATCCCCATAGCAGAGCAGGCATTGGTTGGGCTCTCCTTAATGCATAAGGACGTTGTATCCTTAAAGGATCCTCCTCCATTGATCCTACTAATTCAGCTTTGGAAACTGAAGCCATTGCGCTGAGAGAAGCCCTCTTCCAAATGAAGCGACTCAATTACCAGAATGTCACTTTCTATGGTGATTCTAGTACACTATATAATCATTTGGAGACATCAATCATGCAAAGCCAACAAAAGCCTGGACCATCGGAGATTCAAGGACATCTTGAAGATATATTGGCTATGGCGCGGGGTTTTTATGCTTTCAAATACGTTGGTAGACAAGTTAATACCATCACTGGCATGCTAGCTCGAAACGCTAGACAACAAAACTTACCATCTGTTATCTCTTGAATCCATTAAGTGTATGTCTTAACTTTGTAAACCAAACACTATTTTGTACTTTGGTTCCTTATCTAATGAAAAATTTGGCCGACAAAAAAAAAAAAAAAAAAAAAAAAAAAAAGTATTTTAAAAGAATGGTTACAAATACTTATTTCAATAACACAAGAATTTATTAGAATCTACGTAAAAGTCAAAATGAATAACACTAGAATTCAAATTCTGTTTAATTCTATTAAAGTTTAATTATAATGTTAAACAAAAATGTTTTGCTCATCTAGACATCTTAGATGGAGAGAAAACTCTCTAATTATATATATAGATAAATTAAACTTTGGTAATTTATTAGTGCTTTTTTTATTTCGATTTATAAATTTTAATCGAGAATTTGATACGGCTAGATTGGTTTTCTTTGTTAATTTTGAAACTTTCTATCTACTATACATTTTTGCAGCAGTTTTTGGGATCTCCAATCGGGTCAAAATTTTGACCCGGAAATCATTTATTTCGACCCGGAAATAAGTCTCTCGGATCCTTCCAATTTTGATATTTTACCCGACTTTGTTTCAATAGCAGATTTCCTTAATTGATATTCCCTACATTCAAGGCAAACAACATTTACTCTTTGATTATTGAAAGATATGGAAAATATAATTAAATAATCTTAAATATTCCTATAAAATCTAAACTTAAACCAACGAAATATTTAACTACAGAATTAGTTACTAAACTTAAACGACATATTGGATTCAATCTTCCTAAAATATCTCAAACTTAACTACCAAAATATTACTAGCTCTTAATTCTATCATCAATTTAGATATTATTGTGCTTCGAGAATTAATGCCGAGATTGCCGAGATTTACTTCTCCAATTATATCAATCCCGAGATTGAATATAGATATGTGCCGAGATATCTCTTTCTATTTAAACACTCCACCTTGAACTTCAAGTAATTTTTTCCTAAAATATCTATCAAAATAACAAAATATATAAAGAATATTAATTACCAAATAAAAGATTGATCCTAGCATATTCCATAAATACAATAATATCAAAGATTGTATCCCACAAATCTTGCGTCGTTTTTAATTTTAGAGAGCAGCCTATCAATAAACGAACCCTAATTTACTTCCCTATAAATACTTTACACCTAAACCATGGAGTTCCATCACCAAACACAAGAGCGTACAATCATTTAACAATATTTAGCATACCTTTCTTCTCTTCCAATGGCTACGTTAGCTTGGGAATTCAATCAGAAGAAAGAGACTGACAGAGCAATTTCAGAGAAAGGACAATCAGAATCATAATAAGTTTCTATCTTACTCAAACTGTCATCTATACTTACAAAATTATCCTTCTGAATCAGGTTTCAATATTTATCTACAACATTCTATTACAGTTTATTGCCTATGTTACTTCAATATGCACGACGTCTATCAAAAAAACGTTTTACTGGTAGAGTAAATACGCACCTGGAACTTCTAATCCTTGCTAATTGCGTTCCATTTGTTGCTTCCATGACTTTTGGTCTGCATAAAAATATTGGCAATTAGCTACATATAACATTACTTACTACCGTTCATGTATACCAATAAGCTATATGGCAATGACAACCAATTCTTATTGTAAACAACATCTGCACAAATTGATACAATATGGTAAAATTGAGGAGTACTTAACTTTATATTTTGTGATAGAATCGTTTCTAGAACTTAGCAATATCTCTCTGTGATACACATTTTTGATCCAAGAAATATTATACTGCTTTCAGATCTTGATTTGTTACTATCTCTATCTTCTAAACTTCCAATGCATCATCCATGCTAAAGATCATCGATTATGCCTACTAAGTAAATATGATCTTCTTAGCTAAAGATTGGAACTTCAGTGACGTGGAGAGTGTATTTGAAAGCTTAGGAATCCATTTGATCTACCAAAAATATATTCACTTACTTTCAATTGGATAACAAGGATATTAGGCATTTGGAGTATAGACGACATCTGCTTCCTCGCCGTCACCAGTTTATCACAGCTAAATCAAAGTAAAAATTTCAGTACAAAAAAAAACAGAAGCACAAACTGAAAGAGTCAGAAAGAAGAGAAATCACTTACGTCTCGCATTTATACTTATTGTTGCCATCTAAAATCTCTGATTGAAATTTTTTTTGCATAGACTCCTTGATAGAGATACTATGCAAAATTTCAAGACTGATATCCATAATCTCATCGGCTGTATTTGACTCGGCACCACATGACAAACACTTGACCTGGCTCTGCAAAGCACCACCAAAAATCTCCTTGACGACAAAACCAATCTTCCCAATTATAATCGTCTCAATCAATGATTCAGATCATAACCCATCACTTGATAGGTAAAAGAAAGAGTTAATATCATAAAGAAGTACCTCACAAACTACTCAGGAAATAGATCAACCCAAAGTCGCTCAAAGAAGAAACCAATTCCTTAAATTTACTCCAAAATTGTCCACCCCAAAGCGATAATGCTGTTAATTTCTACAAATCCAACTCTCTGGAACTTGCACAAACCATTGCCATGACCTAAAGTATATTCAAGTATCGTCATTTGGTATTTGGAAACATCCAAAACAAATCATCAAAGAAAAACTAAGCTTCAAACTAGAAAAGGCTTTACCTTTCTTGAAGTCTGATGCTTGAGAGAATGCAAAGAATAAACAAGGGATTATGGTGGCCATCGAAGACTTTACCTCATATACATAAGAAGAATCGTTTGGATTTGAGGTTATAGACGATTGGTGATGAAATCTTCTATTCACAGCTATGGATCGAGCATAAAATTACAAGAATCAGGAATAAAACGAGATATATTCGAAGAGTAAAAGAGAAAAGGAAACGAATTTTAACGATTTACTTCTCATGTGAGAGATGTTGAAACGGTGGAATTCGTAGCAAACGGTGTAACGTTTGATCTTTCCGAGTAGCAGATGAAGAAATCAATTGGAATATCAGCTCCTAGTGACAACGATTTTGTATCAAGATTAAGAAGAGTGAAATCCTCTACTGCTTAAATTAAGAAGAGTGAAATTTGTTCTGAACAAAGAAGATGAAGACTGGTGCCGACAACAATGTAGAATTAATTATCTGATTTTTTTAATTTGTGCAAAATACTTAATTATCTATTCACTTCATTTTTTATACAAAAATCCAATTACCAACTCTGTCTATATGATAGTTATTATATTTAAAGACCAACATACAGTTTTGTTTCAATTCAGAAAATTATATTAGAATTGGTTCAGTTTAATAATCAAAGTTTATAAAACAATTGACTTAAAACTATATTTGATATGAAATTCATAATTGATATCACTCATATTTTCATTGCACAACAACACTATATATTCTAAATTGATCTATTATTTATTTTGCGAACAAACAAAATGATAAAACATAAAAATATTTAACTTATATTACCAAATTTTATAATATAGATTAGAAACTATAATTTCTAAAAAAAAATATTATTCTTTTTTTTTTTTTTTGATAACTCGGGTGTCCAGCCCCACCGAAGTGGAACCGACTAGCATGGGACCCACATGCGTCATCTGCCCTAGGGTACCCCACATCCCGGGGAGCTGGCGATTCCCTCATATGATTCCCTCATATAATTTCTAAAAAAAAATATTATTCTCTCACAACTAATCGTTACTTACGGAATTATATGTTACCGTTCCTATATTTATTAACCGTAAACCTAAAACAAAATATAGATATATATATATGGATGATACATTTAAAATATACAAATAAATAAATTTTTTATCTATTAACAAACAAACAACTTACATTTAAATTTTTTTAAAAAAAAATAGTCCCGCGGTGTACCAAATGAACCAATTGTACCGCGGTGTAAATTGACTCGAATTATATGTTTTTAAAACAAAATATTTTTAAAAAGAAAAATAACAAAATAATGTTTAATTTCACGGGACGGGGTTATATGGTGGGACGAGTTTGGGTTGATATTAATATGGGATGATGTTCCACGGGTGAAATCCTAGAATTAACAAATAAAATAAAAGTATACAATCATAAACACTAAACAAAACAAACAATATTAACAAAACAACTACAACTTAAAATTTAAAATTTTTAGTTACAAAAGTATCAATCCGCAGTACACCGCGGAGTAAAATCTAGCTTTTATTAGAAACCAAATACAACCAATCATAAGACTATAAACAAAAAATTTATTAATCAAATATATATAACACAAATAATTAAGTTATAAAAAACACAAAAAAAAATTTATTTAACCCGCGGTGTACCGCGGGTCATATCCTAGTGATCAGTAAAAGACCAATGAACCGAAATTTACTTGCTATTTTTTGTGGCTACAAAAGAAAACAAAAAGGAGGGAAAATTAGTTCCGTGTTGGGGCCCACAAGAAAAGAGAAACAAACAAACGTAACAGAAAAAGGATATAAAAGGAAATCAGAAACCGGCGAATTCGGAGGAGAAACCAAACCTTGCGTGTGTATCCGCAAGGGATTTTGGAAGAAGAAAGAAAAAGAGATCTGAATGGAGAAGAAGAAGGTATGGTTTTGGGGTGTGAAAGACGACAGCGAAAGAGGCGGAGGCGGACGAGCCAAAGATGCGGAGGATGATGTTGCTGATCATTTGTCTCGCGACGGGACGATGAGTCAGTATAGCCTTAGCAAAGGCCTTCTTCCTTCTCTTGGAGCCAACAATCGTTCCTCTCATTACGTCATTCTCCGTCGCTTCATTATCTCTCCTTTCGATCCTCGTTACAGGTCCGCTTTTCCAATTTCGACTCTGTTTTTGCATTTAATCACGAAAATTAGGGTTTACCTTGATTTGTGTATATGATGTTGAAAATTTGTGAATATGAATATTGCTAATTTTGCAAAATATGCTTACTATATATATATATATATTGGTTACATGATTATGTTATTTTCAGAGTGTGGGAGACGTTTTTGGTGTTTTTGGTGCTCTATACAGCTTGGGCATCGCCTTTTGAATTCGGGTTTCTGCAAAAGCCAAGACCACCTCTCAGTATTCTAGATAACATCGTCAACGGGTTTTTCGCTGTTGATATAATCTTGACATTCTTTGTTGCCTTTCTGGACAAGGTAACTTATCTCCTTATCGATGATCCAAAGAGAATAGCTTGGAGATATGCGTCGACTTGGCTGATTTTCGATGTGGTTTCCACATTTCCTTACGAAATTTTTGGGAGTTTGCTTCATGAGAGTATTCAGGGATATGGAATTTTCAGTATGCTACGTCTATGGCGTCTTCGGAGGGTCAGTAATTGTTTTGCCAGGTGAGTTCTTTGTCCGGTTTTAAGCTTGGCTATCGTTCCAGCCAAAACGTTTTAATTCCAGCTGAGTATGACATTGAGGTCTTCTTTTCAGGTTAGAGAAAGACAGGAAATACAGTTACTTTTGGGTTCGCTGCACGAAGCTTCTCCTTGTAAGTAGCTATGTCTACTTGTTTTACACTCTTTTTGTTTCAAATGAACATTTTGTTAGCTGTGAATTTACAGTATTGATTTGGAAATGCAGGTTACTCTTTTTGTGATTCATTGTGGTGCTTGTTTCCTCTATTCCATTGCTGCACATTATCCAGATCCTTCCAAGACATTTATGGCATTAACCGATGAAAATTGGAAAGAGTCTCCTATTGCAGTGCGGTATAACACGGCAATGTATTGGTCCATAACTACTTTCTCCACAACTGGTTATGGTGATATACATGGTGTTAACTCAAGAGAGATGACTTTCATTCTTTTCTACATGGTTTTTAATCTTGGATTATCAGCATATATTATTGGTAATATGACCAACTTGGTGGTTCACGTGACCGGCCGCACCAGAAAATTTGTAAGTTCTATTTACCGGTTCTTTTATTGCTTTTTGTCATATCGAAAGGACGAATCAGATACATTCTCAAGAGAATAAAAGATGATTACTGCAGTTTTCATGAGTCTTATGCATTTGCATTATTTCAGAGAGATACCATCCAAGCCGCCTCGGGGTTTGGCCAGAGGAACAATCTGCCAGTGCGCTTGCAAGATCAGATGGTTGCTCATTTGTGTTTGAGGTACAGAACTGATTCAGAAGGCTTACAGCAGCAAGAAATCATCGATTCCCTTCCCAAAGCTATTCGGTCCAGCATATCGCATTACCTGTTCTATGAAGTTGTTGACAAAATCTACTTGTTCCATGGAATATCCAATGATCTTCTTTTCCAGTTGGTATGCTTTCCATAACGCAAGAAGCCCCGCACACTAAAATGGTCACTTTATTCACATTAAGTTTTAACTTACGGTATCTTGTAGGTCACTGAAATGAAAGCAGAGTATTTTCCTCCCAAAGAAGATGTGATTTTGCAGAATGAAGCACCAACAGACTTCTACATATTGGTGACCGGAGCTGTTGTAAGTGTTTTGCGTACATTCCTTACACATTCCTTTGTCATCATGTATTATTCCTGACACATTCCTTTATCATTCAGGACATAATTGCACGAGTAAATGGAGTGGAGCAGGCAAGTCTATTTTTTATTATACCGTTTCTAGTATTTTAAAGATATGATTTGCGGTTCTTCTTTAACATCGTTGTGATTGGAAAACCAAAACAAATTTGGTAATGTTTGTGTGTATGTGTTCTTTACAGGTAGTTAGTGAAGCACAGAGAGGAAATGTTTTTGGTGAAGTTGGGGTACTATGTTACAGACCGCAGCTGTTTACTGTTCGTACCAAGCGATTGAGTCAGTTGCTTCGTCTGAACCGGACAGTACTCTTAAATCTTGTACAGGCAAATGTAGGTGATGGAGCAATAATCATGAATAATCTTCTTCAGGTATGTATAAATCTTCTCTTCATTTCTATTTGTTAAACAGTTTGTTTCAACATGTTGACACTCAAGATTAGTTTGATTAAATTATTAAGTACAAAATGTGAAAAAGACCAGTTCCATAACAGATATGTTCTGGTTGATACAGCATTTAAAAGATTCAGAAGATCCAGTGATGAAAGGCGTTTTGGCTGATACAGAACACATGTTGGCTCAAGGGAAAATGGATTTACCTCTCAGCTTGTGCTTTGCTGCAGCCAGAGGAGACGACTTATTGCTGCATCAGTTACTAAGACGCGGCTCAAGCCCTAATGAAATGGATAAGGACGGGCGAACTGCGCTGGTAAGCCCCTACCAATATTTACCATAATCCTCTTTTTAATGCCGAAACAGAAATTGCTTACTCTGTATATGTTTCTTATCTGTATATCTCAGCATATAGCAGCATCAAAAGGAAGCCATTATTGCGTCGTTTTACTTCTCGAACATGGAGCAGATCCTAACATTAGAGGTAAGTAGTAAAAGATGCTCACTAGGTAAATTAGCTTAAGATGATAGGTTCATGTAATTGGATTGAAAGGAAAACTAATTTATCGGTGGCTCGTACATTTTCTACAGATTCAGAAGGCAATGTACCCTTGTGGGAAGCAATCATAGGAAGACATAGGGAAATTGCTAAACTCCTTGCGGAGAACGGAGCAAAGCTAAGCTTAGACTCAGTGAGCTATTTCTCGGGCTTAGCCGTGGAAAAAAACAGCTTAGACGCACTCAAAGACATCATCAAATATGGCGGCGACGTCACACTCCCTGATGGAAATGGAACCACAGCCTTACACAGAGCAGTCTCAGAAGGACACTTGGAGATTGTGAAATTCTTACTAGACCGAGGTGCTGATTTGGACAGGCCGGATTCTTACGGATGGACTCCTCGTGGTCTTGCCGACCATCAAGGGAATGAAGATATCAAAACCTTGTTTCATAATCACAGGCCCGTGGAGAAGAGACCAAAACCTGTCCCTGGAATACCTCAGAGTCCTGTGACAGGGAAGCCATTGATGAAGTATAGCAGTGAACCTACAATGCATTCAGGAGAACTCGTCTTAGACGGAGGACAGGTTGTGGTTTCTCAGAGAAAGAAACTCAATAACTTCAGAAA